GTCCTGCTCTGATTCTTAAAAGCCATTCCTACCTCCTGATTCTGGCAGTTCCTGCTCCGTGTACTCTATGTCATTTCTTCAGATTATCCTGGAATGGAGAGGCAGTGGCCCCGTTTTCACAATCATTGCAATTTAAATGACAGGCCATTGCCTATTTGAGGGTTGTTTTTCTCTCAAGCCCTGTGTTGTAGGTTTGTGCAACGTGATACTTGCACTAGGCGGGCAAAGGAAATGATGCTGAGCAAGCATCATGGTTTAAAGAAGCCACCATGGTTTGTTTAAGTTGTGGAGATCATGGGGAACAGTGGCAGTGGCTGAGCAACTGGGAGATGACAGTTCTCCAGTTTCCTTTCTTGGATCCTGTAGCTCAGGTGAGTGTTGAGGTGGCCCTCATGTTGTGGGACTCAGTCAGACATCACCAATTTTTCACAGGTGGGGTTACTGCTATCACTCCTTATTTTGCCATGTCCACATGGCTAGGGTGGGAACACGCATAAGTCTGAATACAGTAAGCAGGACTGAGGGTACTTAATGGAAGAGATCTAAAGAGACTCCATTTCCATTCAGGAGGCACGCCAGTGGGTTCACTCAGTTCTCCAAATGGGTCTTACTTCATTCATAGGTCAAAAGAACAAGGTTTACAGAGGAAAACCAAGAGTTAACATAAAAGACAAGCACACAAGTTTGAAAGAACAACCCTTTTTGCAATTTCTAGCTACACCATTCTTATAGTCATTTTAAATGATTGGAGATATATAAGGGGCTGGGGGTGGGGGGGATTGACCATGAGAGGCTTGGATCAAACCACCCAGTTTTCTTTCCCTCAGGCCTTCTCACCAACCAACAAGCCCCACCAACCTGAGGTTATATTCTTTCTGTCCGTCAAGCCTGGGATTCATTTATTTGAAAAGCTTGCATTCTGTCCACTTATGAAGGGAAACTTGGGGCAGCAAATAAGCCAACCACTGACAATAACTTTATAAAAACAGTGGTTAACAAGGAAACACACCTTGGGGCTATTAAATTTTGAACCCAGTGGCCCTTAAAGAGCCAAGTTTTCTCATGCTTCCGGAAGTACAGTCCTGGGGCCTGACAAATGTTGAGGGACAGAGCATTCCACCAGATGCATGTGATCACTCAAAAGGCCCTAATGGCTGCACCCCGAACTTCTCAAGGCTGGGAAATCGGAGGTGGTGAACTGGTTTGGATGACATGACAGCTCTCTCTGGGTTATTTAACCCTCAGGGTGCCATGATGCATACCATCCAACTTTATGAATATGCAAGCCATGGATGGGGCCCACCGAGGCTTGTCATGATGTCCAGGCATGGGAAGTGTGGGTTCTTTTAGGGCTACATACACCACACATAACCCATAGGCTGTTTGAGGATGCTGGGAGAGTCATTTAACTCTCAAAACCAACTCCTGGGTTTGAAGGACACAGCAAGCCCCATCCAGGTCTTGCATCCTCATATTGATGGCCTGTACCCTTAAGGGTAAATTGACCCATGATGGATTGTCATCTTGTGCAAACTGGCCAACTGGAACATGTTGGGAGAAAGATAGGGAAGGTGGAAGGTCGGGTTTGTCTCTTGACAGACAGGTCCTCAAGTCCAAATGCTGGCAAGCCTGCCAGAACACTTTGCTGCAGCTGGAGTATTTTGATTAACTATTTTCAGCCTTATAGATACAAGGGCTGTACTCTGCATTGATGTACAGTGTGGCTGGAGGATGACAGTGTTCTATTTCCTTCTTTCCTCTCTTGCAACATCTATATCGTTCTAAAAAAAGGCTTTGCCAGTTAAGGGTTTATAAGTACCTATGAAAAAATGAATTAGCATTTATTTTAATCTGCCTGTTTAATCAACAAGATTAAGCTATGAAGAAATTCTTAACAGGTTCATCATGGTTGATATGATTCTTAACAGAATCTTATAATTCTTAACAGGTTCAATTTTTTTCCTAATCCTTTTTGACTTTACTGTGAAAACCTAATAATGTCGTGTTTTTATTCAGTTTAAATAAAATATTTTTCCTGTGCTTCACTTGAGGCTGCTTCAGTGCAGTAAGGCAGGATGGAGCGGGAAGAGCACGTACATGTGCAAAGCAGTGACTCTTGCTCTTTTTGACTCACCATTGGCAGGCAGCTCCTGATACAAATTTTCTCACCAGGGGGAATGTCCACCCCTACATTAACTATAGATGCTGGAGTTTGAACAGGCATACAACACGCGTTCTTTGCACCATGAGCCATTTCTACAGGTGTTCTGTAACCTGAATTGATCTCAATGGGACTAGTAAGATAGACCATGCTGTAGTCAGGCCAGGCCAGGCCAGTTTAAACTGCATTCCAGTGACATGGTTCACACAGTCACCTCAACCCACTGTAAGCTTATAAATTTAAATCATGCTGTGCTGCAGGACATGCCAGTGGCCTGCTCGATTATTTTAGCAGCAGGTGATAGGCAACATGTGTGATCATTCTGTGTGACCCCAGCAAGATGGCTTATATGAAAATGATACAACCCTCAAATAACCCTCAAATCACCCAACAATGTATTGTGAACCATTTCTGTTGTAAGGCAAGGTATTTTGGGGTGGCATGCTCTTGAGTAGGTAATTAAAACCCATTCGCTTTTCAAAAGACCTTCTCCTGCTAGACAGGCCTAAAACTATCCATGGGTTCTGGGCAGTTTGTTAATGATTTGCATTTTAAAAATATTAGCTAGCATGCGATGGCAAGTTGCACAGATAAATTAACCTACTGTGGCTTGTTGTGATGTGCAAAACAGGTCATAGGGGTATACAGACAGACAGACAAGTTGAACATACTGCTTATATTTTTGGACTTCTGCTTGGGAACAGATCTGTCAGGACTGTTACGATGAGCAGTCGCACGTTGAAATTTACCACTCCAGCCCAGAAGATAAAACTGCTAGTTACCACACGCTAACTGGCATCTGCATGTTGTAAACGTTCATGCTACAATCCAGGGTTGGTTCAAATAACCAGACTTGCCGCGTTCATAGTCCTGCTGAGGTCAACAATCAATGCTTAATTCTTCCCCACTGAAATCAGTAGGATAGCCAAGCTTTGGCAGTTGTTTGTCTTTCAGGCATCCCAAGATCCTTTGCCATTTTTGGAATACAAGCATTCCTTGCTTGTTGGTTCTGGTTCACTATTCAGCTAGAGATAGCAGAAACTCAGACTCGGCTTTGAGTATGCAGACTCACAGACTACACAATGGTTAGCAAAAGTTATGATTTTCTGTGCTAAGAATGTTGTGGTACAGCAGGAAGCCTATCAAAGCAAAGTCAGCATTAGCTCATTGTGGTTGTAACAAGAGATTTAAAGGGATTTTTAAAATCCCTTTCACCCTTAGCCTCAAATTCCTTTTTGCATAGGTAGGTTCTGTTTGTCTTTACTCACTGCTGTCCTGCACATAAGGTGTTGGATTCAGACTCAGTCATGCTAGAATAGACCCACTGAAATCAGTGGGATGCTATGGACTTATTTCCAAGTCTGGATCCAGCCTAAACTACCTTTATAAAAATGTACTTCTGAAGAATAACACATGGCCGGTTAGCTCAGTTGGTTAGAGCATGGTGCTAATAACGCCAAGGTCGCGGGTTCAACCTTGCTAATAACGCCAGGGTCGCGGACCACAGATGCTTTTGCTGGACATGCACAAGGTGGGCTTGTTGTGAGCAGAGCTGGCTGGTGCCGGAGGTCAGACTAGATGGCCTGGGAGGACCCTTCTGACTCGCACTGTTTCTATGTTTCTAATAATCACCTTTCATTTATCAGTGATCTTGAAACACAAACTGCAGACTGCATGTTCCCAGTTTAGGTCCTGATAGTGGTTGTTATGCTGAAATTGATTTGTTTTCCTGATATAGGCCCTAATTCATTGCCATCAACTCTGTCTGCAGAGAAACCTTACATTTTCTTTGCAGTGCTCATATTACATTTATACATTTAATCTGTTGTTAACATGGGCTCTTGCACTCCTTGCTGAGCAATAGGTGTTAGGAAAGAGCTGAAGAAAATTAAAAAATAAATGGGTGCTTGAAACACAAATGCCATATGCACTGTTTATAGCATTAAATAGAGGAAAATGGCTGGCTGTTGTGCTGCTTGTGTATACTGAAGACTATAAATTAATAGTTAAGTACTCATTTGTGCTCAGTGCTAGCAATGCATTTGACATTCAGGCTTGTTTCAGGCTCTGCTGAGGGACCGATTCCACCTTGGACATCGTCATGGCCAACCTTTGCCTGGAGAAGGATGCCAGGAGTAGACAGACAGAGCTCCACTGGCTCTCTCAGTGGCTTTCAATACATTCTGGTGTGAGGGAGCTCCCTTTAGCTCAAATCAGACTGAATTAGGGCAAGCCAATTCATGTTCAGCAAAAACTAGGAAGAAGCGTTGCCTATTTCTGGTCCAAGGAAGCCCCCTCCGGTGATAGGATGATCCCCATCAAGCTCTGCAGTGTCAGCGTGAGCGATATTTTTGAAACTGCTGTGCGGGATGGACTCATCCCTTCTGTTAGAAATGCAGGCCCAGCTGCCCAAATACCAAGGGCTGGCAGACAGAGTCTTGCGCAAACTTTATAGCTCCACAAAAGTACAAAATGGGCACGTTGGTCTCTATGGATAGTACATGGTCCAAGCATCACAGCTTAGCAGTATCCCGTTTCTGAAACTTGTACCTGGTTGGCATCACTCGCAGGTATCCACCAAGCTAAGAGCGCTGTGCTCCGTGACCCACCACTCTCTTCACACAGAGCAAAACCCTTTGAGCAACTTGTTCAGAGCTGCTCTCTAGGTCAAAATAATATCTTTTCAGCTGTTTTTCCAACTGCAATCTGTTTAAGGTTGTTTCTGGCATCTTTTCCTTTGCGATAGGCACAATATGGAAGCAAGGCTAATCAATACTTTTAAAGCTGATTTTGGAGACAGAGAGAAATTGAGCTTTGTACATTTTTTTCTCTTTTTCAGGTTCACACGTTCAGGGGTCCACACTGGTGTGAATACTGTGCCAACTTTATGTGGGGCCTCATTGCTCAGGGAGTGAAATGTGCAGGTAACAATAATTTAGGATGTTTGTTTTAATTGTTGCAGTCAGCTTGAGTTGGTTTCTCATTTCATAATAAAATGAGCTATAAGTGATTCCAGTTATAGATAATGGAAAGACTCGCACTGTTCTGAGAAGAAACTGGAACAGTCTCTTGTGAGAATTGGCCAAAACATTGGTGACTTGGCAGTCTGCCTTTTCACATAATAAAAGTAATCAAATGGAGGCTAAAGCAATAGCAAAACCATCATAAGCCCACAATAGGTGCAGCAAAAAAATGAATTTGAGATTCTTAAAGCTACAGTCTTCCCTAGTTACTAAAATCTGAGAGAGAAAGAGAGAAGAAATAAGATTCTGAATTTTGAAAAATAAAACCAAGCTATCCAATACTATGTAGTCCAAGCAGTCAAGCACGATAAAGCATGCAAAGTATGTATAAGAGTATAAACATACAAATATAAAGCAAAATTGCAAGCTTCCAGTTCAGGCTCCTTCTTGAGCAGGCGGGTTGCCTGTCCGTATCAGACATCAGCACCATGGGAATTAAGGAGCAATCCATATGTGCACAGCATACATGATATGCCATATGCAATTAATGAGACATTTTTAGTGGAATATTGCTTTATTTCTGTGGTATTGCTGCTTATCGGTTGGATTTATTATATTTTGTTATGACTTCATTTTCTGCTCTGTTTGGGGATGTTACCCCAGGAAATGAAAAGCAGTATACTCATCTTCTAAAATACATAAATTCACATATCTCATGTGTATACTGTTACGTGACTACTCAAGTGTCTCTGTGCCATAAGTATATATTCTGGAGGGAAACAAATGAGAAAGCATTGAATCACACTTCCATGTAGGTATAGGTACCTGAATATTTTTTGGGAATACCACGCTATACTTCTCTATATGTCTACATACCATGCATGGCATTCATTATTGAAGTTAATTCCCTCCATCAAATTGTATTTTGCAATATGGGGTGTTTGACAAACCTACATTATTTTTTATGGATGTGAGAAGAGAGCAACTTTCTTCTTTTGGGTTAAAAGCAGTTAATTACTGAGAAATGTGCTGCTATATTTTTTTAAAAAAATACAACCAAAATGTTGCTCTGTTGCATTGACACTGACACAAACATTGATTTGTCTGGCTGTAGGAAGTGGCCCTTTCATTTTTCTATTTCTTTATTTTTCTGTGGGAAAGTTTTCATTTCATATGTAGAAAAGAATGCATGCTGATTGCAAATACAATATTAAGCAAGCTTTGCAGCTTCCAAATTGTAATCAATATTTTTTCAGGAGATAATCTCGTGCATACACACATGTCCTTGAAATATATATGTAACACCTCAGAGCAAAACTAATAAATAGTGACAGTGAAATGAAAGATGCCCGAACAACCTGAATAGGTTTGAAGAGAATTGTTGAAATAGATGAGCGGTTGCCAGCAAATCAGGCCCATTTATTTGGATTGCTAAAAGTAGTTAATATACCAACCGTTTTCAGCACATGTGTTTTTTATCCCTTAAATCTAAACACTGTAAGGGAAGTACATGCTATTGTTTTTAAATATTTACAAACATCCCAATAAAATGTCTAACATTCCAATTAAAATAACATTTAAATCACATTCAGTGAGCTTTATTTTTTTCCTCAGAGATATCAGGTCAAATATTTGTGGTGTTTTGGGACAAAATAGGGAACATGGGGAACTTTTTAAAAAATCTTTGTAAACTTAACATGAGGAATGTTTTTAAAAGCTTTCTATTTTAGGAAATACAAGTAAAATATACATGCTTAATTAGACCTCTCTAGAACAAGAGTGGCAAGTTGTGGTATTCAAGATGTTTTGGCCTAGAGTTCCCATTAACTTTCACCAGCTTAGTGTATGGTGAGCAATGATAGGTGAATTTTAGACAAAAACAACTGCTGGACTAGAAGTTGCCTTCCCTTCCTTTAGGACATTAGAATGTTTTCCAGTATAAACTGAAAACTTCGAGGCAAGTTAAGTTAATTTGCATTGGAAAACCTTCCAGTTCAGAATTTTTCGGAAAACACACATTACTTACCACAACACACAAGGGACATGTTAACAGATTGCCTTCCTCCTCTGACATGGCTGGACCTGCCTGCAGGAACAGAAGGCTGCCTGATATGGTGCCACTAGTCTGGCCATCCCAGCCCTACCGAAACTGTCCCTATCCGGAGAGGCTGGCGGCTGAACCTGTGCCTTTTGGTTTGCAGAGCCTGCACTCTGCCATTGATCTCCAGGCTGTGTAACTCTTTGCATCCGCCGGGAAGATCTGTTCCCTTGGGTTTCAGGTGGAAATTCCAAACGGTGTCCTTTCCCTTAGTATACAATGTATCACTGCACCCCAACAACATGCATCCTTTCAGAAGAAAGCCAGCGCAGAAGTGATCTGGACTGTGGTCTTTGGATTCTCGCGGTGTTAGCTGGCACACCTTGTGTGACTCACAACCTGCTCTTCTTTTTCGGTACCAGGCCCTAACAGGAAGCAGATTGTCAGTACTTATGTCAGTCACAAAGTCAATGCCCTATCTTCCTTTCCCATCAAGTAGATTTTAAGCAACATTTTATGTGTAGAAAAAAGCCCTTAAATAGATAGGTGCGGGGGTTTAATTGCAAAAGTGAAAAACCTCCAGACAAATGTTGGTTTGCGTAAAAATCTGTGGGAGGGAGGAGAGACCACCTGCCTGGAAGAAAGAAAATGGGGTGAACAGGTAGAGGCCATTCAGGTTCCATCCATAGTCAACCTGTTACCCCCTGACAAGGGCAAAGTTTTGGGGTAGCAAAGTTCATTCTGCATGCCAGCCTTCTCCAACCTGGAGCCTTCCAGATGCGTTGGACTGCAGCTCCCACAGTTCCAGTTTCCAGGCTGGCTGGGGGTGATGATTGCTGCGCAATCCAACATCTGGAGTGTGCCACATTGGAGACGGGCAACACGGCCAAAGAACCTGCACATCCTGCTGGGCACAGGCACTGCTCTGTGCAGCCACGCATGAACTGACTGGCGTGGACTGAATTGTCCCGGCAACACCTAGAACCAACTTCCTGAGGAGCCTGCTTCACTCTGCCTCATGGTAGGAAACCCCGTGTTCGTATTTCATCTCATTTTCAGGTTAAGGGTGAAGCAGGCAGGAAAACACTGTGAGAGGGGCTCACGCAGTGGTGACCTTTGCACAAATTGATGTCTCCACAAGGGGGCGCTGTGTGCACCCCACATACAGCTTGCAGAGAAGTGGCTTCATAGGACCACAAGAAGCTGCTTAGAAATGGGTCTGTCTAGCCCAGTACTGAGGACACTTAACTGCTAGGTGCTCTCCAGAGTTTCAGGCAGGTGTCTTTCCATTCTACCTTCACGTGCTCACTATTGGCCTCGGAGCTTTCTGCATGCAGAGCTTATGCCTCCCTGCTGAGCTGCGCCCCCCCCCCCCCCGGTTTCATCCCATTGGCTTCATGTTGGCATATATGCGAGGAGCAGAGCTACGCAAAATGTTGTAGTCTAGGGAGGGTGGCTTTCATAGCCATAACCTGAACAAGCACGTATCCCTTGTTAAGTGGATTTTATGCAGCAGGCTGCTTGTGCAGGAATGGTGACTCAAGCACTTCTTCTGAGAAGTAATTTTAGAGTCACCAGCAAGGCCAGGAAGACGCAGCCCAGAACCTTCCAGTTAGAGCCGGGCTTCCTGTGAGGGGGAGCGTTTGACATGGCTGATCCTTGGAGCTCACGCAAATGTCATATAAAGCCATTGAATAAGGTACCCCTCTGACTGCCTTCATTGAGGGTTCCCAGACAAATGTGGGATTGGGGATCAGCACCTCTAGGTGAAAGACAATCATTCCAGTTAGGCTGGAATCATTCCAGACCTCCTTTTAGAGAATTCCCAATAGTTTGTTTGCAGGCATTCAGGTAAACTTGGCATCACTGTTAGAGCAGCAGAAAGCTAGCAGTTCTTCAAGGGTCTTGAAAGAGCTGAAACAGAACATTTCTGGAACAGTGCAGGTAGCCGTGTTCACGGAAGGGAAGGCTGCTGATCTGTCCCAATCTGTCCAGTTTGCTGCTGGAAGTGCTAGTTCCTCTTGCACTAGTGGGGAGCAAAATGGGATGAGAGGGGCACAGTGGCACACAGGACACTGCCAGTTGAGCTATAAGTGTGCATGATGAGTGAGCGAGCGAGCAAACTGTTTTGTTTAAAATGTTTAGTAAAATTAAGTTGCTTCTTCTGTGCTTTTATAGGGTCAATAGATCTCCGTCAGTATTTATGAAGTTAGTGTTGAGTAAATCAAATTGTTTGAAAACTTCATAAATATTGAGAGGGATCCATTGGCCACATAAAAGCTGTGCATACAACAGACAGGAAGTTAAAATTTTAGAATGGTCATTCTGAGTCCAGCTGCTGGTTGGATTTATGGGTGAGACTCTAAAAACAACACATTCTAGGATGTGTGGAGAGGAGAGGCATGGCATGAGGCATGGCATACAGAGATTTTTCCTGGTAAACATTAGTTAGATTAATTCATAGCATGAGAGTTTTCTGTCCTTTTTCAGAGTAAATAATATATAATGATCTGTACCTTTTCAACAGTGCATGGCATGGCTCCTCCTCTCTCTTCTGGCATGTGGGTGGCTTGCCTCCTTCATGGATATGGTTCATGTAATGTTCTTTCACTTTCCGTGCATAGCCACCCACGTTAAAATAATCTTCTAGGGCCAGATTTTTTCCAAAGCCTTGAGTAGGAGGGAGAATAGAAGAGGCAGCCTGCTTCCCTCTGATCAAAGCAGAGAAGCATTTTTCCAGACCTTTTGCTTTTTATCACCTTTGATTTTCTTTAGCCTTATATTAGCCATTTGCACTGTTAAAGCTAAAGCGGTAGCATGTCCTTGGCAAGTAGTTCAGAGCCTGGAAAACAGCTCCATCTTCCTTGGTGCACGGCCATGTTGATCGCTCCAGGGCCCTCTGTAATGGAACGCTGCAGGCTGT